AAGTGGTGTAAAATAATTTTTCACTCCCTCATGAGACAACACATTGACATCCGTCTTGCAGCCCGTTATCCCTCTACAGGACATCTTGTATCAGTATCCAGTGGCTATTCTACATTCAAGCTTTGATATAAATCAACAATGGAGTGGTGTAAAATGATATTTCACCCCTCTCAAAAATTGACAATTTCCATCTTATATTACAACCCCAAAACCCCCATGAAAACGTCTTGCATGTGTTAATCCAATTTTGTTTATGTACAAATTAACTCAATAAATAAATGCAAGACGGTGTATAATTAAATATTTTCCTCGTTTATGATGACATTTTCTGAAACATTTTTTTCAGCGAAATCCCCCACTCCCATCTATTTCCCTGCACAAGTGCGTTTCAGTACCATGTTATCTAACTGATGATAACAATGCAAGACGGTGTAAAATGATTTGATGAAATAGGCCTCGTATCCCGTACTATAAGTAGAGAAAATCATTTTTGGGGGGAATGACATTGGTAATGGTGATATGGAGAGTGACACAGTTGCATCAAATTTTTTAGGTTAAATAACAGTGAGACAGATAAAATAAATTTTAATAATACTCATACACCGGGGATAAAACATAAATTGTCTTTTTTCTTACTAAATTTACAATCATTGAGAAATAAGCAGGACGAATTATTTGTTTTAATTAATAATACAAACTTGCCAATGTTTGTCATGCTGACGGAACATTGGCAAACAGATGCCGAACTGTGTTACCTTCCAGGTTACACTTGTGTCTCGAGGTACTGTAGAGGAAAAGGCTATGGTGGCACCGCAATATTGATGAATGAGGATTGTATAAGCGATATTAATGTTGAAAACATAACTTGCTATGAAAATTTAATCTCAGAAAATCACTTCGAATTTTCACTTATTTTAATTAAAAGCTATAGCATGTATCTTTTATGTGTTTACAGACCTCCCTCAGGTAACTCATTTTTGTTTATGGAACGACTAGAGGAACTTCTATACGGTTTTTCTTTATCATCTAAACTTGTGATAGCAGGAGATTTAAATATAGACTATAACAATCCAGAATCCAGGGATACAAAAGCCCTACTGGATCTTTTGAATTCATTTAACTTAAAAGTTTTCGTAAACGAGCCGACCCGTATAACAGATCATTCGGCTAAAACGATTGATTATTTTTGCAGTAACGTCGAGTCAGATGAGTTTAAATGCCAGGGGATTCCCTCAGGACTGTCCGACCATGAGGCCCTAACGGCAGAGCTCCTTATAGCGAGCAACACAAATAAAAAAAAGGTAGAGAGGAGAAGGATATTTAGTAGAAAAAACTTCGAAACATTCAAAAGACTAGCAAACAGGATAGACTGGGAGCAAGGTGCTGGAGACCCACTGGAAACATTCCAAAACAATATAATAAAAATTGCCCACTGCGTAAAATTAAAAGAAAAATTAAGAAGTGTTGGGTAACACAAGGTATAAAAATATCTGGGAATAATTTAGGATCTTTACATACAATACGCAAATATATAAATAGTGAAATATTTATCATCTACTTTAACAAATATCGGTCCACATACAGAAAAGTTATCCGACAAGCTAAAAATCGTTACTATATGAATAGGGTTTCAAAGGCCGGAAATAAAACTAGAGAATACTGGAGCATTATAAACGAATTGCGAGGAAAACAGAGCAAATTCAGCAACATTCCTGGACTCAGCTCAGAGGAGTTAAATAGTTTTTTCACAACAATAGCAGGTAACATCTGTCAAAACATACAGTCAAATGTCGATCCTACCAACTATCTAAACCCTGTGACATATGAAGATACATTCTCTTTCTCTCTGACAAATATAAGTGAAATAAAGCAGATACTGAAGGACTTAAAGAAACATAACTCTTCTGGATATGACAATATATCAGTAAAAATTGTAAAGAATTTACCAGAACAAGCATTACAGGTGTTAACATCAGCCATAAATAATTCACTGATTACAGGAGTATTTCCTAAATGTTTGAAAACATCTGTTGTGGTACCAATTTACAAGGCAGGAAACAAAAATGACCCATCGAACTATCGTCCCATATCATTGCTGAGCACAATCTCGAAAATAATTGAAAAGGTTGTAAAAAAACAGCTCACATTCTTTCTGGAATCGAATAAAATCATTGACAAGCATCAATTTGGATTCCAAAACAATATTGGAACAAACGATGCCATGTTTTCATTCTTGGAGGAACTTTTTCTGGGCCTAAACGATGGAGATGTGGCTGCGGCGGTGTTCTGTGATTTTTCGAAGGCATTCGACTGTGTGGATCACGGAATACTGCTGCGGAAATTGAGTCACTATAGGTTTTCGGGAGTGTGCTCGGGGTGGTTTGGGTCGTACCTTTCAGACAGGGAGCAATTCGTAAGAATAAACGGAAAAGAGTCGCAGATGGCAATAATTACCTGTGGAGTACCGCAAGGATCTGTACTTGGACCCATTCTGTTCTTGCTTTTCATTAACGATTTAGCTCAGCTCCCAATCGCTGGGAAATCTACAACTTTTGCTGATGACAAAACAGTGGCAAGAATCTGGAGGAGCTTAAAACAACTATTGAGCAGGACTTTATGCAGGTGAAACGCTGGTGCGATTCAAATAGGTTATGCTTTAATACAAAAAAAACTAATATTTTGACATTCAAATGTTCTCTGGGCGAGGTGAGATTAGACAATATTCTCCTTGAACAAAAAACAACTAATAAGTTCTTGGGATTATATATAGATACACGATTAAAGTTCGACACACATATTGAACAACTAAATAAAAAATTAGCACAGAGCTGTTACATAATCAGATCTCTTGTTCAGGATCTGGGAAAGCAAGCTGCTAAAGCGGCGTACTTCTCTCTTATGGAGTCTCATATACGATATGGAATTGCTTTTTGGGGATATTCCACCCAGAAATCGGTCCACTCAGTCTTTGTTCTCCAGAAGCGGGCAGTGCGCTATCTCTGCAAAAAAAATTGTAGAGAATCGTGTAGACAACTCTTTGTGCAGGAGGAAATACTAACAGTACCATCGTTATTTATCTTAGAATCAGTGTGTCTAATCTTTAGAAAATATTCTGGGACCACTCAAGAAAGAAATTATGACCTAAGACACAATAATCTTCCAGTTCCAATCCCAAAGTCTTCCTTAACAAAAAGTTCGGTGATTTATGAAAGCATTAAAATATACAATCATTTACCAGGAGAAATATTCAAAATTATAGAATGTTTCGAAATTCTGTGAAAAGCCTTTTAGTGCCTAGAGCCCTCTACAGTATCGCTGAGTATTACGACACTGGATTTTAAATTTAAATCTAAACTTATGAATGTTTCCGTTGTTATTGATATTTGCATTTTTTTATTTATTTTTTTTTTTTTTTTTTTGTTTTGTGTTTTATATTTGGTTTTTGTATTTTGTGTTTTATAATTTATATTATTTTATGTTTTATACTTTGTATTTTATGGTTATGTTTTTATACACTACATGTTAATGGCTACATGTCCGCACCATCCATAGTGGTGATTGGATAAAGATTTTGGTGAATTTAGTTTGTTTTTTTTTTTGTGATTTTATTTTTGTTTTTTTATTCTTTAATAATATTATGACATGTACTTAGTGTAATTCTAGAATTAGGAAATTGCTTTGTCAGTGAGATACATATTTCTGGACAATAAAGCTTATTTTGATTTGATTTGATTTGTATTATCCCCAAAAAATGATATTAAAACCTGAAAAAATGTCAAGGTTTATTAAAATGAATTCATGGTTTGAAATGACAATTAATGACAATGACAATCATTAATTAGCATTGATTAAAGGCGATTAACCGGTTGGTCATAGTTGACAGATAACCAATGAAGCAAAACTGCTTTGACAGTTAACTTAAAGTTAACTTCTGGAATTACATGTAATTCAAAAAGTTAACTTCAAGTTAACTGTCAAAGCAGTTTTATAATACCCGCCGCCCTTAGGTAAGTTATTTGTCTAGGAAGCATTATGTCATAAATTTGACATCTGGTTTTGGTAGAACTATCACATATAAAATAATGCCTCCTAATTCTTATTTCAATTTATTTCTTATTTTATATTATTTATTGGACAAACTTGCCATTATTTATTATAATATACACGCAAGTATACACTTAAAAAAAACTACGAAATTCATTGATTTCCTTCATTATTTAAACAGACTTGTGAATAAATTTATGACTAATGACCTCGGTAATGACTATAAATAAATAATTTGATAGCACCTTTAAACATTCCACCCACTTATGGCATATACCAATCATTCCACTATTCTTACACAATGATTTATACCTAATAGGTAAGAATAGGTACAACCTTACTGAATTTTGGATGGTAGGGCTCATAGCGAGGCTGGTAGGTAGTACAGGTATAAATTTATAATACATGATACATCATGTTTTAGAGAAATAATTTATTATTCTGAGAAGTTTGTGGTCAAATTTGTGAAACCAACATTTTTGACTATATTTATCCTATTACCCATTTTATCTAGAAAACTAGTGTGAATTTCATAACCAAAAATGCAAAAAATGAAATTATAAAACCTTGAATACCTACTTATTAATAATTCGTAAATTTCAAGTAAAAATTAAGGTTTATTTTTTTAGATTTTTTGTTTGATGTTGGCACACATTTTAACTGCTGTTTAACTTGATCATGAATCCTCCATTGGCCAAAAATTGTTTTTATTTTCAATTGGTTAAAAAAATCAAAAAAAGTGATTTTATGAAAAAAAGCATACCTGACAATGTTTATAGCTACAGCTTTCGTCTTCTCAAGAAAAAAAAAAACACCTTACAAGTTACAAGCCAAGCCCAAGGCAAATAATAAATTGGATTTTCCACAAATATAATAAATACACCTATTTACATGCAGGTATTTAAAAACTCCAAAACTTTGTAGTTTAGACTGGTACCTACTACTACTATACTCACCAATTAAAAAAATATATTCGATTCGTCACAATCCCAATAAGATTTTATCACTGTGTCTGAGCTATTTTGAGAAAAAGTAGGACACAAATCACTAGATTTTTCACGGAAAATACGAAAATTCAAACACTATTCTGCGAGCTATTCTGCTTTCGCCAACACAAACATAAAATTAAATAAAGTGAAGTAGGCATGAATGAAGTGTGAAGGTGGATTAGGTGGAAGAGGAATAAGGAGAGGAAGATACAGAAAAAGGTAGGGTGGAGACGGTTGAGTGTGGAGTAGGCAGAGAGTAGTAGTATAGTAAGTATAGTGCTTAGTGCTGTTGAATCTAATAGCGATTTCCATTTGTCGAACCAGTGCAAAAAAAATGTATCCATATCCTTACACGTTACATGCTTTTAGAAAGAGATGGGGATACACTTAGTGCACACTGATTGACAAATGGAAATCGGCATGAGCGAATAATTCACTGAAGTTGAAGCAGATTCAGATTATTTAATGGCCGTTTCCACCAACTATTTTAGTGGAGCCCTAACGATAAGTATTCCCTAAACTGACATTTCTCCATATAAAAATATCATTTTAGGGAATACTTATCGTTAAGGCTTCCCTAAAATAGTTGGTGGAAAGCCATTAAAGGAATTAAGGAATTGAAAATATTGAAATCGCTTCTGCTTTCCGGTTGGCGCAAGGCAAAAGGAGTATGGACTAGACATGTTGAAAAAGTAACTATTCGAGTACCTACTCGTTACTTGTTGATACGATTCCCGAAGCATAACGAAATACAAAATACCGATAGGGTTGCCAAGCTTTTCGCGGGATGTCCCGGTTTCAGTCCCGCGTCCCGCTGGTACCCCAAGTGGGACGAATATTGTCTCGCTTTTTGATGAACCTGCCCCCGGATTCTATTCTACGTATCGAATTGTCAAAAAAGCGATTCATTTTTTCGATTTTTCCATACGTATTAAGCCAGGGACACATCTATCATGCATTCTTCCGATCCGACTCCGATCATACAATCAGGGTCCTTATTCTTGGAACAAGGAGGGGTTCCGTCTTTCGTCTTTCTCAATGATATGCAACTGCCAATATGAGTAACGAAGACGGAACACTCATTTTCCTCCAAGAATAAAGACCTTGATGGTATGATCGGAGTCGGATCGGAAGAATGCATGATAAATGTGTCCCGGCCTTTACACGGTACGTCCGGAGCTGTCGTATTCGATATCGAGACAATTCGACTCGACTCGTAAAATAGAATCTGGGGGCTGAATAAAATGCACGTCAAAACCGTTGATTGAGGAAGTAGGGGAAGATGCCTAACCTTATGGAACATAAAAAGACCAATAAATGTTTTCGTCGTTAGGAGTACAGTTAGGAGCGCTCGCGTCATCCATCTCTTTTCCTAAGCATGAATTAAATTTTCAAAATGTCAAAAAGATTTCTGTAAATGCATGTCTGCTATGTGAATGCGAAACGGCAACACTGTAGCACCCGTAGCACAGTACCGCAAGCACTTCATCGATTGCTAGGCTGAGTTCGGCTTTGCACTCGTTCGAAACGATAAGACCCAGTTCGTTTTAAAAAAAAAAATCTGTTTTTTATTTGAAGATAAAAGTCAAAATGACATTATGTTGGCAATACTGTAAAATTGTCAATGCTTTCAAATTTAGCTCTCAGAGTGTTCTCTTTTGCGTTCGGGTTACAATCGAGCCCGTACCCTGAGTTCGCTCTCTTTTCCCTGGGATGGATGAATGGATGGAAAACCAGAGAAATTAGTTGTCACTTTTGAAAAATGATAACCTAAAATATTAAAAAAAAAAAAAAAAAATCGGTTTGCGTTGCGTTTCCGTTTTTTTTTCCCCGATTTTTTAACTTTTATTTAAAGTCCATTACTAATTTACCTATTCGTTTATTAGTAAAACAAAATTAATATCGAAGCAAAAGCAAAAAAAGCAATTTTCTTCGAGATTATTGACAACTCGATTTGCGTTCGGTTTATGACCTTGCTGCAGGGCGCACTTTGCTGCAAGTTTAGGTACAAACCGACATAGCAACAATAGACAATTTTTCGCTAGGATAATCAAGCATACTCGAGTATGCTGGGTGATGTGATGTATTAATTGTGTCATACTCCCTCACCATCAAATTCTGGGATAATAGAGGATCAAGAACACTTAACTTCTTCTGAGAGAACAGAACGAAAATCACCTTTTCTACAATTGAAATCGACGAAAAAATTAACTGACTAGCACAGCTTGAATAGCAAGCATTCCATCGAGGTCTGCGGGTGACGTCATCGTTCCTTGCCTTCGGTATTGTGCTCAAAGAGTAGAGCGTGCTGAGCGGAGCCATAATCACGTGACCAGCGAGCAAACAGAGCAGTTGAACGCTGTATCAGAGTGCCCGAAATTTTATTAAACGAACGCGAATGAGCCTGCACCGAGTACACTTTTTAAATAAACGAACGGTAAATTCAAGTTCGGAGAACACAGATCAAAATACCGAACGCACGGATTATAGGCTACTGATAGTGACCTCACTCGCAGGCCCAGAATTTGATAGAGAGGAAGTAGGGAAGTATGACACAATTGACAAATCACATAACCCAGCATACTCGATTATACTTAATTATCCTCGCGAAAAATTGCCTAATAAACCGATATGTTTTTAAAAGAAAAAAATGGTACTAGAGTTTTCGACAAATTGAAAATTATTTTCTGATCCATTGCCTAATTTCCCATAAAAAAGGTATCCCGAGTATTTCTTGTTCTAGGTTAAACGTCACGAGATAAAAAATAAAAATCAATGTGTTGTTGGATACACCACTCTGTTGGAAAAATAAGAGTCGCTCTAGGTCCGGTCCTGGAAAAGTGGAACTCTGGAACGTATTTTTTAGAAAGACGCTTGAATAAATCGCAAACACTCTCTGAAAATTTGAACAAAATCTATTGGTACTCTATCTATCATAACAAAATGCTCACTTATTTCGGACTCACCCTAGAGTGCGTTTAGAAATAGAGTGTGAAGGTAGATTAGTTGTTTGTCAGAGTGATCTGACGTCATCACTTAGAGTGCACTCTGGGTGCGCCTTTTCTGAACGTAATTGGGGTGTTGCACTAAATATCAACGTCAGACCCGGAAAAAATCTCGGGACGTTTTTCAACCCAGTCCCTGAGTGGGTTTATTTAGGCACACTCTTGGCACGTCAACTCTCGATTTCTAAACGATTCCATCGTAAAGCCTAGTACTCATAACTGCGAAATTCGCACTTTTTTGACATTGCATTGGCAATTTGACGTTTGATACATGCATAAAACATCAAAATGTCGACGCAATGTCAAAAAAATGCGAATTTCGCAGTTAAGAGTACTAGGCTTAACGCTCCGAATAAGCACCTCTTAACTTATAAACGGTTTAGAGTTACTCTAGGGTCACTCTCACATCCAGAGTGCTATTTTTAAACGCAACCCTGATATATTTGTATTTAAAATTTTTGACAAATTTGCACTTATGCGTTTTTAACTGAAAAAGGCACCCGTGCACTAAAATGCATTCAGGCCAATTTCCCAAAAATTATCGATAATTTAATTTCCATTGCACTGGTTATATTATTACTATTGATAATAGACCTATCTATTTTACCAGACAAAGAGGTAATGATACGAGAACTTTATTAGATAGAAAAAGACGCAGAACGCTTATTGCGCAAGACGAGGCAAAACGTACCAAATTATGTTAGACTTACGTATAGCAATCCGTTCTTATTATTTGCACGGGATAAAAAAGGAAGGAGGAGAACCGCGTGACGTTCAACGTATTTGTCAATCAACAACACAAACGAAAATGGATCACTTGTTAAGCTATTTCAAGTCGAATATCAAGCATAATTTTATCCTTGTCAGACTACGGGCAATGAACAAGGACAAGAAGATGCCCAGCATGCAAAAGGATAACTTTACACCTGTACTAGTTAGCCAATAAAAATGCATTGCCTCGTGTTGCGCGCGCATACAGGTAAAAATAGATAGGTCTATTCTTCAATTTAATTGTCTTAATTTTTTTTTCAATTTGCCAAAACTATATACTATACCAAAATTCAAAACAAAAGTTAAATTGTAGGTATTTGTGTGTAGGTACCTGGTAAATACACACAATAAAATCGATTAACTTTCCCCAAAAAGATGAGAAATTCCTTGAGACCCGGCAACGCTGTTTAACAACAAGATCACGATTCTAGATTATGCTGTTTAATTATTTTGAGATCCCTCAATCCCTCTCATGCCCCCTCATTCGCCAATCGGTCGTTGTTTACACAAAATGCCATACATTTGTTGGTGGCAGCACCAATCAATGATGTGTTTTCCGACATCAACCGTCGCCGAAAAAAGACGGGAGATGGTATCTGCATTCATTTGAGAAAGATGGGAATAATTTTTGTCGCAAGCCACGATTATTTCTATAGAGGTTAGGTATCTTCCTCTACTTCTTCAATCAACGTCAAAACGTAATTAGAAGAAAAAAAACGAATTACACCTTATACAACACGTTGGTTGGCCAAGAGCACAAACGGAACACACCGTTGCTTTGACACTTGGACGTCCTTTTGATTGAAAACAAAAGATTAGTGAGATTGGTGAGAGGAGAGGTTGAGGACGTCAATGAACCAGTGTTGCCAATGGGCAGATTTTAATCCGATTTGCGGATTTTTTTTGGACGATCGGATTTTTTTCGGATTTTGTAATTCAGAGGATTTTTTGCGGATTTTTTTAGATAAAACGAATAAGGGCATGAAATCCCTCCAAAGCACAAAAAGCCAACATGACTGCTATGGCAGTATGCAACAAAAGCGTTTGGTGTGGTTTAAAACGCATTTATTAGGAAACTTTTCGCGAGGATAATCAAGCATAATCTGATTAGCTGAGTTATCTGATGTGTCAATTGTGTCATACTTCCCTAACTCTCTCTCCATCAAATGCCTGCGAGTGACTCTCAGCAGGTTATACTGATGACGTCACCTGCAGACCTCGATGGAATGCTTGCGATTCAGGCTATGCTAGTGAGTTAATTTTTTCGTCAATTTTTCCCAGAATTTATTGGTGGGGGAGCTTGGGGTTGTTCTCAATTTCACCAATAGATGTTGCACTGTTCGTGCATATAATGGTTTATTGTTCATTCGCTG